GAAAGCAGGTGTCGAGTTTGTGGCTTGGGAGGGTGGAGTTGATGACGTGCGCAGCTGGATGTCTACTTCGATGGCTGCATGGTGTTCAGCGAATTCTCCGTAGGTTTGTCGTCTAGTGACTTGCCACTCGCTGGCATGGGACTGCGGGGTTTTAGGGCCTAAGGTGAGCTTTGAATGCATGGGGCTAGGAGCTCTTGACAGTGCAGCTCATTGCATGTTCTACTGTCTGAATTCTGGCTGTGGCTTGTGAGGCGAACTACATGCAGTCTGTCGCACAGACGGAAACTGTCCAGCCACACACTTGGCCGTGCTTCCGAAAGTTATATCCCCAAAGCTACTGCATCATGTTGTGAATCAGTGAAGCCCTAAACTTTCAAGTTCTTCTTCCTGAACCGCCGTGACATTCTGGTCCTAAAGCCCAACATCTTGCTCTGTGCCGTTGTGTCAAAACAGAGCACGTGATCTGCGAAGCATCCCGGGATGTCCAGCAGCATGTAACCCTTGAAAACGGGCGGCAGAATATCCTTCAGCTCTGAAGTCTTGCCTCAAAGCCTTCTACTACAAGGGCCCAAATAATTACCAATTCTATTTTTTGGGGGGCTCCTAATTGTAGGAATAGTATACTGGGCCCCAAAACCCTATTCTAAGTATTAAGGCCCCTATGTTACTTAAAAGGTTAGTTCTGTTCGTTGCCGTGTGATATAGAAGCCCGACATCTACGAGCAGTTACCGTCATTATGCCTTAGGGTTGTGGGCTAGACTTATATTATGATGTTTGCAAGAAGCCTATTACAGTTACAAGCATCTCTATGTCAAAGACCAAGGCCCCTAAACTGTGGCCCCAGGTTTGCATGTCTCCCCTTTGTCCGCAAATCTCTAGCTGCTCTTTCAGGTTTGTTTTGATGTCTAGGATATCCAGTTTCGGTTTACTGGTAAGGACTCGTGGGAATGCTTAAGGCAGTCGGTTGCTTCGATTCTTTCGACAGTTTCTGTGCGAGCAAGGTCGTCTAACAGCTTCAAGTACGACAAGGCCCTGACCTACACTCGTTGTTCGATGCTCTTGGCAAGCTTCTCTGGGGTTGACATTGAACTAGGCTTGGAACGCAGACCGCAGTGTAGCGAACTACTGACATGGCAGTGGTGCACAATATTGGCTTGGTCCGAGAACTGAGAGCTTGTGAGTGACCCACAGCTCTGCCACTCTGCTGCCCGGATCCACGTTGAACTCTGTCCGAGTGCTGTTCAGGAGTCCGGCTTCTACAAGGATGCCAAGGCCCGATCAACCTATCATCGCCAATGTCATGTGGTCGTGTAGAAGCACTAGGATCGAGCTGCCGGAAGTGGATAGCAGTGAAATAAGTTTAATCCGTAGTGACAATGGTGGTGGCGCCGGGGACGATCGTTAATAATTGAGAAATTATTAGACGTTCTGTTCTTCGCCGGGGGCGCGGGGATAGGCCGAGACGGGAAGTCCTTTAGCATAAGAAACTGTAGATAGACCTGGACCTAAACACGAAACTTGCAGAACATGCGCACACACACACACACACAAACAGACAAGTGGTGGCATAAAGAAGCAGACAGACACGGACATGTGCAGTGCATTCGCATACACACGTGCACCTCTAGACACATGCGCACACAGACAAACGCGCACAGAGAAAGAGAGAGAGCGAGACAGATAGAGAGACAGACACATACACACACACACACACACACACAGGCACAGACACACTCCAAAACTCCACGCTGCTTGACAAGGCATCAAACCCGCAAAAGGGATGCAACTCCATGACCTGATCTTCGAATTGCTTCGCTCCGCCCATGGAGGCTCAGTTGTACTACGACCCCAACACCACGTACTTCTTCACGTTGGACTACAAGAAGTTCGCCTGGGAAAGCTCGGCAAGCCAGTACTAGAGGAAGAATTGGCAAATCAAAAGACATCGATGGCTGCAAGAAGTTTCCATGGCAAAGCTTCCAATCAGATACCTAGATACATTCTCCAGCCTTCGCAGAAAGGGTTGAGGTTCGTCACGGGCCACACAACAATTCACATGTATGCTAAGGGTCCTTGTCCCTATATCGGTTCATTCTATATATGCATACTCTATACATAGAATTACATAGATAGATAGATAGATAGATAGACAGATAGATAGATAGATAGAGAGTTGTATATGGAGTATATATATATATATGTGTATGTTTATGTACCTTAATGTGTATACTTCGGCCTTACAGATGTACTCACTTTCGCAGTGGCCTGCCCTGTCTTCATGCTTCGTCATCATCTGTTGTGTGAGTTTAGGGTTTACTACAACTTCTTGGTGCAGGGTAGGGTTTAAGAAAGATGTTTATAGTCTTAAGTTTTTGTGTCGCATCGCTTGGGGGCTTTCGGGTTCCTGGTTGAGGGTGTGGATTTGGCTTTCTTAGGGGGGGAGGGTACATTCAGGAAGATACGAACCAAACAGGTCGAGCAACATATCAGCCCTGAGCCCCGACATTCGCGCATCTGAGTTGACTTCAGGTACTTTGTCTACGATGCGGAAAAGCAGCTGCTCTGCCTCGTGGATGCAAAGGCCTCTACATCAAGTTTATGTAAAAGAAATGAATCTCTGAAGCCAGACATGAGGTAGTCCCTATAGCCCTCAAGACCTGTTTCCAAACCCCCCTGACTACCATAGTGGCCTCAATAGTTACCTATACTATTTGGGGGGGGTCCTTATTATAATCATAGTATAATAATCCCACCAAGCCCTTTTCTGATTCTTAAGGCCCCTATGTTATATTGGGGGTTCCTTATTATGGTATAATATCCCCCCAAAACCATATTTTAATGATTAAGGCCCCTATGATGTTACGGACCCCGCTCTTCGAGACTTGGAGGCTCATCCTCGAGCTTTGAAGAGAAGATCCCCACGAACCACGCCGAAGCAGAAGAATGGAAAAAACCTTCGAAGCATACATAGCCTAAAGAGAAGGTAAGAAACGTAAGAAGCCGCCTATCCCTAGAACTTCCATACCGAAAGCCCCGGAAGCCTTTGACCACCGAAACCTTCAATTCGTGGGAGGCAACAGTAGAGCAGAAGGCATGCTTAGTGTTTTGGGGTTTTGGGTGCAGGCTACAATTTGCAGAAGTCATGTTTACTGTTTTGGGCTTTGGGATTGAGGCCTCATGCAAGGCTTTGGGATAAGGTGATAGGCGAGACTCAGAGCCGAAGCACACGGCAGGGCCAGCGGGTGCCACGTGGAGAGACGCGGCCGCTTCCGTCGCAGGCGAGACCTGCGACCGTTGAAACTTCAGAGTCTCATGATCATGAAAAGAATTGACCTTCGAAACCAACCGTTAGCCCTAAACACCAACCCTCGACCAGCTCTGGTGGGGCCTTGGTCATGTGCCTTGGGCCAAGAAGGGGCCTCGGAAGTCCGCTATGCCTGCTGGGTTTAGGGATGCGAAGGGTTAGGGTTGAGAGATGTTTAGGGTGTGCGGTTTTGACTTTGAGATTCGATCGTCGCATGTCAGTTTGCTGTTTTCCAAGAAAACTGACGGGCTTTACGGACATGGATTCTTGTAACTTCCTCTGAAGCCATCTAGGCCTGTTAAACTGGCATCCCGTAACAACTGTTCGGTACAATGCTGGATCCACAGGCTTTTGGAGGTTTCGGTTTGTCTGTGTCAGGTGGCTGCGAATGCGACAGCGGGAAGGCGCAATTCTCGCTTGCAGTGCCTCTATAAGGGAGCAGAGCCGGGCCCCTCGGGATGAGTGAGATTCGTACCTCGCTAGTCTTATTCTGTCTTCAGATCTCCTCACACTACCCCGCATGACAGCGAGGTGCTGCACAGCTTCTGGTGCCGTGAGTCATTACGAAAAGCACATCACATCACCGCGGCCATCACCATTATCAACATCGTATACAACCATGATAAAGACCCAGCAGGCCTGAAGCCTAAGCGTCTGAGTCACTCCGAGCCCAAACTCTCCCAAACCATTGAACCCGATCAGATCCCGGACCCCGGCCTGATCATGCTTACAACATGAGTCCTAAACCTCGCAAGCCCCACTGCCCCACACGACCCCTTTGCATTGCTGGAAGGCAGCCGGAGCGGGCGAGGACTGCCCTCATCTTCGGGGGCTTAAGGGTCGGGTCAACTCTAAAACTCCTAGCACGAAACAAGCGGTTTAGCTGTTTTTCGTCGTCTGGTGGTCGTGCGTTCTTTTGGCCTGATGGCAGCTGAGCACCTGCACGGTTTTGCGTTAATTCACCTTCACTTCGGAACTTTCAGCTGCTACTGTCTGCTCCCCAGTCTCAGAATTTGTGGTTCCTTTAATGGATCTAGACAGAGGTTCCCTTTAGTTAGGGTCCCGCAGCCTGCTGTCATGTAGCAGCTGAGCGGACCTAAACCCAGGAACATCCTCCACAGGCGGTGGAGAGTGTAGGGGTGTCGCAACTCCAAGCCTGGAGAAGTAGCCCGTATCTGCCGTTTATATATATATATATATGTATATGTGTGTGTGTGTGTGTTTCTGTTTTGTGCGTTGGTGTTGAGATCCGAACTGCAATCCTTGGTCTCGGTGGATGCTGTCCGGAGGTATAAGCTTGCAGCTTTCCTGTCCATGAAGTCTCTAGACTAAACCGAAGCCTTGCAACTCTAGAGCACTCAACCTCAGAACCCTAAAGATTTTGAAGCCTTAATGGGCAGTACCCATCATAAGCTCAGAGACGTCTCCTTACGAGTATCATGAGCAAGCAAAGCTTCATGACGTTTAGAGTATCATCGCAGTCCCAGCTTTTAGGAGGGTGCCCTAAGTTCCCGAGCGCTGACCACAGACATAAACCCTACAAGCCTTAATAACCAACATTAAGCTCGAAACCTTAAACCCTAAACCCCAGAACCACACTGAGAAATGGAGAAGTGCACCAAATTAACAAAAAAAACACACTGAGACTGGTAGCCGCATTTGGTTTTAGGGCGCATCCTGGGATCTTCGCCAGCCATGCGTCCGTGGCCTTTGAGCCTGCTTTGCCTGGTAGGCCCGTCTTCTCGAATTTTGCCAAAGGGTCCATGTAATTTAGGGGCCTTAATAATTACCTATACTCTTTCGGGGGTTCCTTTTTATAATTTATTGTATAATGGGCCCCAAAACCCTGTTCTAATTATTAAGGTCCCTATATAACTCATATGTAGATACATTGGCCTTCAAAGAATCCCTATATAGGTACTCTAAGTCTCTAGGGCCAAAGTCTATGCTATATGGGTACATGGAGCCTTAGGGTTTTGTGGAGAAAAATATCTACAGCCTGAGGATCCATTGTCATACGGAAGGGGTTCAGGGTTTACGGGGTTTAGGGCTTCAGGGCCTAGAATTATAGAGCTCATGATAAGGGAGCTTTTGGGCTCAGAGCTTTTTGGGTCGATGAGGCCAGTGTCTCTGTAATGTGCGCATCCTGGGAGTCCTGGACTTTCGGGTGAAGTAAAGACTCTTGACTTGAGGTCGGCTCAGGGCCACAGGCCGCAAAATGTAAGATAAGACAAGAACATAATGTTATTGTACTATATAGTGAAATGATACATCAGACATAGTATAGTATAATGTGATCCCAAGCCTGCTGGCCTTAGCGTGTCTTTGCCCGTGAGGAGCCGGTGAATCCAAGAAGGCTTTTTCAGACGGCTAGCACAAACGCGGTGGTTCCGGCCTGAAGATACCCTCCGTCATGAGCCCAACACCCCAGCCACAAGCAGCCGTAAGCCTCATCGAGCCGGTGGCCATGCTGCCTTGAAGACAAATCGCTCAACTCTACGAGTCGGCAGCATGAACCACAATTCATCGATTTCGATTCCTACACCGGGGACCCCCACCCTAGAATGGGCTATATAATGGGTATATAGTAGCTATATATTAACGGTACATACCTATGTAGCCAACAGCACAGGCCTTCAGTTTCTTGGCTGGGCGAAGACTCGATAGCTCTGTCTCGCGAAACACACCTACCATAAAACCTCAGCCCTAGGCCATGAATTACTAGATCCGTAGCTTACCCCTATAACCCGAAAGTGCTAATCCCTGTAACCTCAAGCCCTACAGCCCTAAACACCCGTAATACAGGGGCCTACATGAATACCAACATACCCCAAAACCCTATATTCTAATCATTCAGGTTATATTACTACGTGGCCTCCCTCGTCCCCCCGGCAGGCGGCCAGGAGGCGCCGTGCAGCTGTTGTTCCAGCTGCGGCTGCGCCTGCGCCGCGAGCTGCGCAGGCGCCTGGGTGGCCGCGAGCTTCCGGGTCTTCGGTTTGGAGGTTAGGCGAGGGCGATTTAGAGGCTTTAGGGCTGGGGGATTTATATAGGGGGGGGGGGGGGGGTTTAGGGGCGTTTAGGGTTAAGGGTTTAGGGCTCGGGGATTTAGGGGCTTTGAGGGTTCTTGGCTCAGGTATCTAGGTCTTTGCAGAATTTCATGGTTTACAGGCTTTGGGTTGTGGGGCTGGTATCCGGGCTGCCTGGTGCGAACGTGCATCGGCACGGGCTGTCCCAATGTGGGTGCTGCAGCCTTCGGTGGGAGTGGAGGCCAGGGTTTTGGCGGCTAATTAGGGACTTGAGGTCAGGCGGTTTTGAGCTGCAGGGTCATTGCGGCTTTCACAAGACACGAAAAGTGAGAGCCCAAAACCGCAGAACCCTGCACCCGAACTGTTGGACCCTTAGCAGCCAGCGCAGAAGCAAAGATGCCTCTTGGCATGGCACGCCGGATGGAGTGAAGGGCCCATGAGACTTCAAAGGAACAGTTATTGCAAACCGTAGACCCGCTGATCGTATCTCTTATAGCGATACGCCTTGCAGCAATCCTTGAGCAACGCGTATAGTATTTATATTTATATTTATATTTATATATATATATATATATATATATATATATATATATATATATATATTTGTATATATATATATATACTCATGAGAAGGCTATCGCGCTCCGGGCTGTGCCGGAGCGCCCGACTGCCTGGAATCGTCCGTGCGGCCCCCGGACACGGCACAGCAAAGGGCTTGGTTCCAGGCTCCTGTCTAGGGCCTAGGGTTTACGATGTGATGACAGAGCTGGAGTTTGGGAGGCTACAGAGCTTGGCTGGAGTTTCGTCTTCATGACTTGGTCTAGGATACAGGGCTCAGGAGACCGTAGGATCTTGAAGCCATTGCAGGTGAAATTTGCTTAGGTCCTTTGTGGACTCCGCCGTTCGTGTTCTTCGGGTTTTCTGAAGATTTCGTATCAAAAACCTGTGGCTCTTACCAGAGCGGCAAGTCCCCTGTCTAAGGATCCTGATACCAAGGATGATCTCAGTTCAAGGTTGCATGAAGGCTCAAGTCTTTTCGAAGCACTCCCAGTTCCAGGCGACTCTTACTTGAGTTCCGAAAAGAGACGTTTGGGGTTTAGAGTTCAGTTGGGGTGTTGCGGCTCCTTTTGCCTTGTCTATTCCTTCTTGACGGCTCCCGGCTCGTTTCTCATGTAAACATGAATAGGATTTCCAACCTTGTCTAGCCAAACACTTCATAAGTTGCATCTTTCTCATATCGTTTAGAGTCCCTTAGAGCACATCGGGCTTTCCGTAACCATGACCAGAGTTACAGTCCTTACAAGCCTACTGACTTGTATAGCCGCCCATGACTTTTCTGACAGGCGCTACACCCCGGAGACCCATGAAGCCTCAATCAACACCCCTGTACAACTCCATAGACTAGCAATGCGTATGAAAAGCCACGCCGTAGACCCCTAGACTTTACTAAACCCCTGCGCAGATATGGGAACCTCGTAGGAAAATTTGCTGGGTTTCTGTAAACAAACTCAGCCTCTCAACAGCATCCCCGTCATCCTGAGCGGGTGGTCTTTAGGTCTGGGGTAACTCCCGATACACCGAGGCCGGGCGGGTTTACGATGTAGGGCTCTTGGGGATTCAAGGTTTGGTTATGGCTTTTTGAGGGCGTTACTATTGGGATTTTACTCGTGTGTCCGACATCTATCTCGGATGGCTTAAGATTGAGCCTAGAGCCGCCACGAACCGTTTCCTAAAGTGCCCAACAGCCCATCAGTAGGACTTTCTTAAGACCATTACGTTAATGGCTCCGGGTGTGCCCTGAAGAGTTGAGGATAGCTTTTGGGGAGGTCTGAGGCCTAAGTTTTGTCTGAAGGCCACAGAGGCCCGCGATGCCTTGAGATTGTGTTTGTAATTAGAACAAACACGGTAGGCATCAAGTATGTCTTCGGGAGTCTGGCCGGGCCATTATTTTACTGTATTGTTTAAAGTACAGTATGGCATATACCATATATGCGGGCCTTTTTATACTATCTTACAAAGATTGCAGTATGGCATATCTGCGTGAGATGCGTTTAGCCTTGTGCGGCTTCCTTGCAGAGGTATTTTGAAGTTGCCCTTCTCAGGTGTAGGCTGCGCAGGCCAAGGAGCCCGGCTCCTCTGCTCTTTACAAGCGCTGCAAACTCCACATCATGATACTACAATGTACTGTGATATACTGTATTACACCAATGTATACTCAAATGTAGAAATAAAGTAACTCCTGATTCAATCCTGCACCTTTGAACTAGCAAGGCCTCCAACGAAACCCGACACCTTTTTTCAACTCAGGATCGATTAGTTCTTGATCGCGTGTTGTGCGATAGATCAATATGTGCTGTATGCTGCTGAGTACACTGCAGTCTCTTGTTACATTGTTGGACCCATGCATTGTTAGACTTAATAACTAGAATTGGGGTTTGGGGATTATTACTATGATTAGAATGCGGAGCCCAAACAAACCCTGTTCTAATTCTTACGGCCCCTAAACCCTAAGCCGCTCAGCTCTTCGCAATGCAGGAGGAGTGGTGTGGGCAGCCTCGGGTGCGCGAGCTCACTACGTGCCGCTGCTGCGGCGAGTGTGGCGACCAGACTTTAAATCACGTTCAGCCCATGGACCCCTACATTTCTAAAGACCCGGGCCCATGAAGCACAGTGCACCCTAAACCCGAAATCTAGACCTTATAGTTCCCTACACCGTAAGCCAGGAAACAGGAAACAGGCATGCCGAAGTTTAAAGAGCCGGCCATACTACAGGGGCTTACCATAAGGGGGCCTGAGAATTTTGCAACATTATTCCTTGGGGCTCCTTGTGTGCATTGTGCTGTAAGATACTGTAAGATATGTGCACAAAAACCCATATCAAACTCATTCTATGATTAAGGCTCCTACATTACCTTGAACCTCAAATACTAAAAGGCCCCATAAGGGTGGATGCTGAAGGGAAAAGGATTATCACAACAAGCAAGAAGGATTTTTGCGGTTTCGAAGTTCGGCGGGCACCGCTTCGTGGCTGTAGGAATATCAACTTCCGGGAATACCCCAAAATTTCAATTACTAAGGCCGCCAAATAAGTTGCTCATGTTCATAAGACTCTCAACATATGAGCCGACATGAGGACTGACTCTCCATGACTACAGGTTTACAGTTTGCCGTTTTGGTTTGGGGTTCCGGGACAGGTTTGTTCAGCTCAGGCTGCCCGTGCGCAAACAGATGTCCCGGCTACAAGGCCCAGCGATGCGTAGCATAGGAGCCTGGATAGCTAGAATAGGGTTTCTATCAGATATTAAAGAAGTTACAAATAGTATAAGGATTCTTTAAGGCCTCTATACAAAGCATGTCTGCATTCTACATAGCTTGGACTTCGCCATCTTGGCTCAAGTTGAAGCTGGTCAGGTTGGGCACGAAGGCACAGATGGCAGCTCCACAACACATGTCACACAACAGTCGCAACACTTGCACGCCACCAGTCTCATAGTAGGACTGATTCCGTACCTTGCGAATTTGGGATGTAAGGCGCGCACACGGCTTCAGGAGCCTGCTTAGCCAAGCGCTCGGCGCAGGCAAACTTCGCACTGCGGTGAGGCACTATCCTCATCACCCGGCGAGGTTGATTGACACCTCCACGTGCGCCGGGAGAGTACTTCGTGACAGGCTAGCTTCCATTTTTGTTTGACCAGGCCCGTGCATTTCTTGCGACGGCTTTCACAGTGACGCCCTCGAAGATTCTTATCAAACAGGAGAGCTGGGCGGTTTTGGGCCTTATACCGCTTCAGTCTTCTGGGAATGCTACGGCCTTGCAGTCCGTTACCCTGCGGCTGATGACCTCGCATTTGAGGCCTGCGGTCCTGGCTGTCGCTCTGGTACAAATTGTTTATGTGACCGCCCCCCCGACTCGTGGACCAAGCGTAGCAGTAGCAGTATAGCAGCAGCCGCAGCAGAAGTGGTTGTGAATTGCAAACGTCCTAGGTCAGCGAGAGCTGCGGTCATGGATAGTTTCGCATCTCCGTTCTGGCTTGGTTCAGGAGCTGCAACACAGTCTGGATGGACTGCTTACGTCTTTTATCAGGTTGAAACTAGGCTGGCAGCATGCATAGGTCAGGGTTCTCGGAAGTGAGTGAGTGCACTTGAAACTGTTCAAATTTATGTCTGCTGGGTGCAGCGTGATTGAGTGTAGTGGCTGATGTTCTTCTGCGCAATCGCAACAATTCGCCTCCAACCGGACTGCTCCTTCAGGTTCCCGCCGGCGGCCCTGTGGCTGGAGACCCGAGATTCCCCATCCACACGTCTCCCTACTGCACTTTGCCTCGTCAGCCTCATTTCTCATTCTCCTTTTCGCCCGTAGGTCTCCGTCGCTGCAGTTCCTTCGGCACCTCAGCCGTTTCCCTTCTGTGCTGTCTGCCGGCCACGGATGGCGCACGTGTGCCTCCTCCACGGTCCTTCCCATCCCTTCTAGTGACTCTGTTCACCTATTATAAATGTCCCCCTCTGGAACCTCGCGCGGAAAAGCCGATGACGTTTACGAAAGCCCCTTGAGATTCTGGGCAAGGAAAAGTGGTGGAGGCCGCAGCTCCAACGCAGGTCGAACCCTACCTACTTACCTACCTTGGCCTAACACCAGACTTACTATAGTGGCCTTATGATATTTACAGCGGCTGTTTTTGGGGGGTCCTTATTATATTGAAAGTATACGACACCCCCAAATGTTGTTCTAATTATTATAAGGACCCATACGAGGATTTTGGCCATTGCTGTCGCCCCGACTCCTGAGTCGAAAGATCACCCACCTCGCGACGCATGCTCACGGTCTCACCAAGACGTAGTTTCAGCTCCCGAACCCATCAGATGTTGAAGGTTCATAATCGTATCGGGTCTTGGGGGCTTTAGGGCAGGGACTTAATTTGTGTTCGGGGTTTCGCGATCCATGGACAATTTGACAGCACACGGAGCTCCAAGCCATGAAACCTGATGTGATTGCCATTTGCTGCAGGTCCTAGATGTAAACTCTGAGTACTGGGACCCCTTTGTTATGCCGATCTCTCGGTCGGAAGCCTTATAAACCCTAAAGATCCCTAAAGAGACCCATCAGGGGACGACTCGAAGTTCGATTATGGTGCATTTTCCTTTTTGAGCCTAGGAAGTTCTGGCTGTTTGTTACGATGTAAGGTTTAGGACAAGTCCCTTTTTGTTTAATATGAATATTGTTGTTGGGTTTATGAAGACTTTGCTGGCGGATGTGTTTCAAAGGGCCTTAACGGCGAAACACCGAACGAGCCATCTTCATCGTCCCCTTGCTAGCGACTCGCTCGGAATTGTTGCCGGAAGCTTGGACCATGAGGCCACGTTCATCTTTGAACTGCCGGCAACACCGTATTTACGAACGAAATTTGGAAAAACCGAAGACCGTACAAGTCCCTAAAGACTCACGCTTACAGCAGTCTTACAGCTGACAGCGACCCAACCTATAAGCCCGAAAGCCCCAAAACCCGCTGTGGACCGAAAGATGCTACACCGCAAAGGTTCCAAACCCTGAGAGATCCTCCAACAGATTCACAAGCTTGAAATTGAGTGCTATTACCAGCAATTAGCTACCCGTTGCACATCCGAGAAGTGCATAATGAATCTAATCAATACCGTGTTGTAGGTTTGTCAGACATCACATCCGCAACTGTCCTTGCCAAAGGCCTTTGGATGTGCCGGGGCAAGCAACTGTGAGATGTCCGCCGTCGGGCGCCACGGTGGAATTATGAAAGCTCATGAAAGGCATCGAGGGAATTGTGTTTGGGGGTCTGGACCAGCCTTCGAAGCAGGTTCCTTTACTGCGGTCTGCGCACGTCATGTTCGCAGCAGCTGGTTGTTTTAAACCTATGGCTGGAGGCATGCTAGAGGACGACACGCGGGTGCTGAGCCGAGGCAAAGCGATCGCTATACCGAGCAGGCGCGCATGTTTGTGCAGACGTGAGTCTGTAAGCTTTGCAGGACCGAGTAGGTGGCCACGGACTGTTGAAAAATGCCCAATCCGCCAAACCTGTATGGCAAACAACACTGCCGGCCGTGACCATGTGCATCATTCTGATTCTGTCAGCACCGTCATCACCAACAATTCCTGCATAAGCAGCACGCCGTCTCCTGTCTCCATCGCCAGCGAATAAATAGCCGAAACTTCGACGAACTTGCTTACCTCGATTTGGCTCCGACGCGGATCCTGCCGCGGGTGTGTAAGGAAACCCGACCTCTTTACGAGATGTCAAAGCGAGTCTCCAGCACCAAGACATCTCATGCACCACCTGAAAGAGTCATAGAAATGGCAATAGTACAGGTATGAAAATATAAATAAACCAAGTATCACCAAAACTGCATCACGTTTCAATTGCCGAAGCCCATAGCAAGATTGCCCCCAACCGCAACAACAGTGTTCAGTCATCGTCACCACCACCAAGCCCTCAGCCCTATAAACATCTTTATAAGCCCGATCAGGCCTATAAACCTTATACACCCTGTAAGCCCTAAACCCCCCAAGCCCTGGCAGGCCTATAAACCTTGAACCCTACCAAGCCTTATGGACCCTACTAGGCCTATGAAGCCTGTAGAACTCAAAGCCCTACGAAAGCCTTATAAAGCTTATCAGGCCCATGAACCCTGTAAGCCCTATGTAAACCGTGTGTAAACCCTATACAAACCCTACATAAACCCTAGGACAAGCCTTTGTTTTCGGAGGAATGGTGCGGCCTCGGCCTTCCCCACGACGCTCCCGCCGAGGAACCAGAAGAGGCCTTTGGCCGTTCTTGCCTTTAGGGTTCAGCGATTACAGGGTTGAGGGTGATTTAGGTAGTATTCATAGGGTGGTTTATGGTTCAGGGTTTACAGCGTTTAGGCTGGTTTAGGGCAGGTTAGGGTTCAGTGGTTGAGGGTTTTGAGTTTCCTTTTTTGGCCATGGTCTGTTGGTTGTTTCGCACACAGGACTTCTTCATACAGCGGACGTTGTTCATGGGGCTTCTCGTCTGTAGCCATCCTTCGGAGATTGCCAGAAGTTGTTTAGCGGAGCTTTCTGGTCATGATAGACTGACGTGGGCTCCCCATTAAGGGATTTTAGGGTCCGGGGGCACCGTGTGGACTTCAAGTATCAGGGTTTATGGGTATGTTTCAGCGGGTAAGTGTTTTTGCACAAGACCTACTCACAGTTGAGGAGCTTCGCTGTTCGTGATGTTGGGCCTGGGGCGGAGCACTGCTAGGAGTTCTTGTTGCTGTCCTTGGTCCCATGCTATCTCAACTTGCACCCTGCACCCTTACTCTGCACTCCAGCACCGTAAATGCTTCATCCTGACTTCCCAAAAAACCGAGCACCCGAAAAGTCGAAACCGGCACAAACTGAACGTCCTTAATGGTGAAGCCCACAGGCTCCATGAACCCATATAGTAGGTACTTAGGCCTTAAAGTACCTACATAGAGACCCCTTTAAGGCCTAAGTATACCTACTAAGATGGGTGCATGGATCCTTTGGGAAGGTCATGGCCAGGGCGCGCCTGGCCCTTCGATCGACGCTGTCGCCTGACCTGACACCACGTTAGGCTCAGGATCTCAAAAGGGGCCTAAACAATTACCTGTAGCATTTTGGGGGCTCCTGAGAAAAATTTAGTATAGTGCACCCCAAAACCCGTGAGGCCTCGTACGGGGGTCTCAATACAGCATAGCCCAAAAGAGTTATTCTTGGTTGTCCAGGTTCCTATCCTCAGGTAGGTATCCTGAGAAAGGATCCACGATTAAGCATCTAGGTAACTCGGGTGTTCAGTAGCGGGCTCGCGACTGGCACATTGCACTGGGAGACTAAATGTCCATTCTGGTCCAGCGCCAGCCTAATTATTAAGGCTCCCATATTTGGGTTTTAAGATCCTTCCTGCACATCCACTGAGGGCGAGCATGGTTTGGCCCAGCGGCTGGTGATGCCTACGGGCTCTGAAGCGATTCTGAGAGGGGTTTAGGGTTTAGGGTCTATCCTCGTGCTTCAGACCAATGGAGTCGTACGGCATTCCGTAGTACAGAGGTCTGGATAATTTATGTATCAGACGACTTTATTATATTGAAGACTTCTAGTCCCTTATATAGTCACACCGTGGTATCCATTGTCTGATGTAACACCCTGTCTTAGATTGAGGAGCTCGCGTGCTCGGCGCGCTGCAATGCAAAGCCGTTGCTCTGCTTCTGACTGAGACGCGAGACGGAATGCTTTACAAAAAGGTTCGATTTAAGGGCCAGGATTCTGCTTGTACCTATGTGGATGTTCGTTTTCAGGTTTAGATGAAGGTCCCGGACTTCGGTCAGAAGGCTGTTGTAAGCACTTCGCTGGGGATGTCCAGCTTCATGGTTCCGATCCGTGATAAAATAGGAATAGATAACAATAATAGTAAATGATAGTAGTAATAAATGATAATAGTAATAACAATAACAAGAATAATAATCGGCAGCAGATGGTAATTAAGTCCGAGCACCGAGTAACTTGTGGACGTTCGAAGGGCGCACCACGCAATCTGTACATAGGGGGCTGCAGCGGCAGCGCGCACATAGCGTATTCAGGCCTCGAATCATTCTGAAGTTCGTGGACCCTGACTACATGAAGGGGGGGTGGAAAGCCTTTTTTTGTTCGGACTGGTACCCTAAAGACTCTTTCGAAATCCCTTCCGACTTCTGAAAATACGAGTTCCTGAGAATCCTTCTTCGGAGAATTTCCACCGTCTTGTCTGAAATACCCGTATCCTGGGACTTATTCGGTAGGTTATGAAGTAATTACTTCACTTGAGCAGCCCCAATTCTGGATCCAAGCCGCATGTCCTAAGACAAGGTCTAAAACGGTCACAATTTTGGGCTCCTGCGCATCATCCCTAAAGTCAACCCTAGACCGGAAATCCCACATCTTCACCTCACCCCCAAACCCTAAAACCCCAAAAACCTCTAAACCCAAAACCTTTAGAGCTAATACTTCGCCACTAAACCCTCAACCTTGAATCGCTGACAGGGGATTCCTCGGGCATAATGTGGGGACTTTAAAAATTGGAATCATCAGGTTCTGGATTACATTCTGCAGTAGCAATAAGTAGTAATATATACCGATTGTTGACTCGGGCAATGATTTTGCTAGTTCCTCCGACCCCCCCGCAGTACACATAACAATGCTTGGACGAAGAAAGGGGCCTAAATGCCTACCAATGCTGTTTTTGGAGGCTCCCTATGATAAGTAAAGGAGCCGGAAACCCTATTCTACTTACTAAGGCCCCTATATTATAGTACCCTCTTAGATCCCTTATAGTAACCCTTATAGACCCCTATAAAGGACTACTTACTAAGGCCCTTTTAATATTGGACTAAGCGCTTGCAGGAGCCGGAGCCGTCGTCGCAGCAGGACGAGACGGCTGAGGGACTCAGGGGCTCCATCGAATCAGGGACTTTAGGGCTTAGAGGGCTTAGAGGGTTCTTTTAATTTAAGGGGATCTATAAGCTCCGTTAAAGGGATCTATATGGGATCCCTTAATCGAATCAGGGACTTTAGGGCTTAGAGGGTTGAGAGTTTAGGGGTTTCGGGACGCGGGGTTGGGGTGTAGGGACTGGCAGCCTCAGATACCATGGACTCCGAAACCCTTAAAGCCGAAAATGCTGCCCAGCTCATCTGGTATTGTGTCATTGAATCCAAAACCTCCCACAGACACCAGGAAGCTGTGTGATCTTCGACCGTTTTGCGTGCGGTTGGAGGGGCATGGCCTGAGCCCTTACTCGTTGTTTCTGGGGTCAGGGCTGATCCGCACAATGCTCAGCCCCAATGCGCATACCCATTGAATCCATCGCCTTATAACCTGATTCATAAAGCTAGGCTCAAACCCCGAGTCCGAACCGAGCCTGAGCGAGAAGCTCCAAAAGCCTGCGTGATCAAGACTCCCGTAGCAAAGAGCTGTTCTTGTAACGTGCCCCTAAACCCGAGGCGCGAAGCAAAGCAAACCTAAACCAAACACACTTTCGTAAGCTGCACATCTTAATTTAACATGCGATTGAAGTCTGGGGGTAGCCATGTAGCCTGAGCATCGCCCGGAGGAGCCCGGTGCGGAGGAGCCCGGTGCGGGAGCGGGAGTGACGGGCTCGGTCACGGACTTTGGGGTATAAAGTTCAGATTGAGCTGTCTCACCGGTACTTAATTTTCAGATGTCTTTGTGCTAATTCTTTTAGAGGGTGTTTAACTTAAGCCTCTGCCCCCACCATGTATCGATCTGTTGATCTGCCTGTCTATCTATGTACATATGTTCTATCTATCTATCTATGACTAGCTGTGGGTTTATCTATGTATCAATCTGTTTATCCACGGAGTTATCAACCTGTGAACTTATCCATCTGTCCATCGATCGATCTCCTTCTCTAGATGTATGTAAGTAATTATGTATGTATGTAACTGTATGTACTTATGTATTTATGTATGTATGTATCTATCTGTCTACATGCATACATATAAAATTGACCAACCCTAACCGTAACCTAACTATCGATTTGTCTATCTATCTCCTGCTCTATCTATTTGCCTGCCTATCTAGCTAGCTAGCTATCATGTCAGTTTGGAACTGAGCAGCGCGATTGATAAACCTTGTGCTAGCAGGCTTCTGGCATCTAGGAACTGGCATACTATAGGGGTCGGGATTCGGATAGTTAACAACTTCGTTCAGGCCCGTATAGTCCTTACGTAGTTACTATGTGGCTCAAAAGCAATTGCTGAAGCTGACCCTTATATAGTCTTCGTAAAGTTTTACCAGAACGTACTAGAACACACCCCGAGACTTTGTTCTGATTATGTAGGCCCGTACTGTAGATGTGGCAGCCGGCTGTGCTGAGGTTTGCCTGTTGGATCTAACGTCTAGGAACAGGCATCGGGCTATCTGGGTTTTGGAGTGCCGTACTTTATTACGTTTCCTGGACCTGTTCCAAAAAGGAGCCAATATGAAATGCAAGTTTCTACTCGTTTCTCCTCGGTTACCTCAAAGCCCCCCCGCTCTAGAGTTTTCCTGTTTGGGACTTCGATGCTTCAGGTCCTGAGTTGAGCTCCTTGAGGTCTGATGGACAAAGCATGTTTTATACATGTATAGAAAGTCCCGACGCCCTGCTCTCATAAGTAATGCACCACTTTTAACCCGCATTAAGCCTCACAGTCCTGGAAATGCAGAGCTCCACTTTGTGTAAGGCTCCTTTTTGTGCTTTCAGGCCGGGATCTCGAAGCCACAGGGTCCGAGAACCAACATATTGCATATGTTGAGTTTCTGCATGTTGTGATATGGTAGCCTGAACTAGTGGTTCCTTGTTGTGAATAAAGTAAAATAAGCCCGCCAAACCCTGTGCCCACGTATGCAGGCCCCTGCACAAATTAGACGTTTTGGGGGAATATTGGTCCTTAGACCCCATAAACCTTAAACCCTATGACCGAAAAAAACCGACCGAAACCCCAAACCTTAAACCCTACTTTAAAAAAACAACTCTACGTGGTAATTAAGCCCGAACCTTATAAACCCGTAAACCCTAAAGCCCTAAAGGGTAACTCTAAACAATACCTTTTCGGAGATGGAGCTCTCAGCTTCTTTCAGGCGCGCGAGGTCGAAGACAGAGCCCGCCAAGGCAGAGAGCTCGTGGGGAAAGGGATCCGCCTTAGGGTCTTAGGCTTTTGGGTTTTGGGATTTAGGAATTAGGGTTTGGGATTTAGGGATTCGGGTTTGGGATGTAGGGTTTAGGGTTTAGGGACTCGGAGTGGAAGGTTTGGGGGTATGGGTGGAGAGGGTGAGGATTCATAGGGTTTGGGTTGAACGCTATAGACGACGGAATGAACAGACTGTTAAAAAGCACGTGCCTTGGCGCGCCTCGGTGCTTGCCGACAGTAGACCAGGTTTGTAAAGCTGCGATTTTAGAGATCCTTGCAGACATGCGCATATTCTGATGGCACCAGCGCGATCAGAACTCTTACATGGTCCAAGTTGGTTATTCGGAACATGTGCAGAGTTATCTATGTCTGATGGCAGTGTTCATAACCCTCGCTTGGTTTAGGGTTCATAACAGTTTCAGTGGTGCGTCATGACACCCAGCACCGGCTAAACGTCTACGCGAACTGCCCTGACGGCGCCCCATGTAAGTGTAAGCAAAATGTCGCGGGAGGCAGCAGAGAGCAGCAAACGTCCGGCAGAGAAAGAGTTTCGGCCTTTGCTTTGGCTGGCAGTTCTTGAATAGTTTTGAAAGGGTTGCAGAAGTGTTTGCGGGCTTGTTCAACAGAGTATAGTTTGGTTTGGGGTTTCCCGTATTGACGAATCAGACCCCAATCAGCAAGCATCCAAAAGACAAACTGGGTTCGAGTGTTTTTCGGAACTGATTTAGGTCAGGGCTAGGAGAGAGACGCTAGTGTTTCAGACTCTTCGTTGCGATCGGGCATAGGTTTTGAATTGGGGGTCCCTCAGGTCCCTCCCCATCCCTCGCCCTCCCTCCCCTACCTCCCCTTCCCCGGGCCCTGTAGAGTCCAATGAAGCGGCAGGTTTACGAAGAGTACTCTCAGTGTACGGTTTAGCGGCTGCAGTTTAGAAGCTCGACACGTTTGAGAGCTGGGTGCCTTTGTCAAGTGCTTTCATGGAATTATGTGAAGGGGTAAAGCTCGGGAGATTGGCTGACCTGCTGGGCTTCGAGGTCCGGTTCGGTATTTCGAGCTTGCCGGCTGCCGATCGAAGAGGGAACAGGGAAGAGGATGCAGGGTGAAGTCCTCCTTCTTCTAGCTCGATCTAGTAGACCTGATCGCTTTCCGTGGAATCGAACTTACATCATTGAGTTTGGAACTTGTATCAGGTTAGGGTGGGCTTAGGGCTTGTGGTTGGAGATGTTTAGGGCTTACACGCTTGATGTCTCATTACTCATAGTTTAGAGGTTCTGGGACTCCGATGAGC